TCGCCCCACCCACCCACCAGGCTGGTGGGTGGGTAGGTCGGTAGGCGTGGCCAAGGGGCAGCGCACGCTCGCCCCACCCACTCACCGGCAAGGTGGGTGGGTGGGCCGGTAGGTGTGGCCAATAGGCAGCGCACGCTCGCCCCACCCACCCACCAGGCTGGTGGGTGGGTAGGTCGGTAGGCGTGACCAGTTGGCAGCTGTCTCTGGATGGAAACAAAGGAATAGGTAGGTAGGTAGGTCGGTGCGATCGCGGTACTGCAATGAATCGAAAAGACGCCAGGTAGGTGGGTAGGTAGGCAGCTTCAACAGTAATACTAGACGAATCTCAGAAAAACGCTAAACACAACGCAGCGGGTTCGGTCAAATGTCGTCTGTCCAAAACCAACCAACCAACCGACCAACCCACCGGAATTTAGGCCCGCAGGCCCACGCCTATTGGAACTGTAGTACTGGCTGGCGTGGGAAGGCCTTGCATCTTCATGTCATGACAGGAGGCAACTGGAAGTAGGGAACAGCATGACAAATTGCCTGCAATTAAGGCCGCAACTGCGGCTCTTGCCCTTCTAGCAATACAAACTGATTTGTGTACGCAAATCCAGCATCCCAAATTTCCTGTCCGATATGGGCAGAGGGGATTTTTCCTCACAATATGTACTTTCAACCGGCCACTGGGACGGGGATGATCACCAAAGTTGGCGGGGAAAACGGGGAAGAGGGTCTGGAAATCACCTGGGATTTCTCGGACACGCCCACCACAACTCCCGCCCCGACTTCAACTACGAATTCTTCAAAGTCCACCCCGGATGATCCGGCCAGTTCCTCTTCACCGCCGCGTCGTCGAGGGTTAACCGTGTCCACACCAGATTCAGGATCCGAACCCGATCCCGGGTCATCTTCAACCCCCGACCCATCAAACTCCACCGCAGCCCCAGGCCCGAACACGGTGTGGACGAAACGGCAAACCTCCCCGTCTGCGCAGTACAAAGTGAACCTGAGAATAACCCGGGTGGAAAGCGAGCACGAGCTGCGGAAGCGGGACTGCAGCAGCTACACCGATATCGAATGCAAATATGTCTGGGCCTGGAAAGTTGTGATGCTGGTCAGAGAATATATGATAAAGTGTTGAAGATGACACTGTAATTATGCGCAGCCAAGTACTAGCATGACAAGTTTAAGTTTTCTGATGGACCTGTGTAGTTGCGTATAATTCTGCATGAGAACAAACTAAGTACGCTGTTGCATGACAGGCAAGAGGTGGAACTCTTGGTCGTCGTGGCCACACAATACAGAGCCCAGGGTCATCGTCGTGCCAGACGAGCATTACAAAGATCCAGGGATATTTGCAAGGCATAACCAACGGGTGCACGAGTTTGGAATACGAGCTGACGAAGGAGTTGGTATTCGTCACAACCACATATCAAAAGCAGGAGAAATGCCCCCTCCCCATAGTACCAAAACGAAATTTGTGATGCTGGATTTGCGTACACAAAGTAGGAGATTTGTCTTGCAGTAGAGGACTGCAGGCGGATGCTAAGCCTCAGCAGAGAGGTTTTGACGTAGGCGACTGGCATGGCAAAAGCCTATGCTGTAAGCCCAACAGCATTACAAACCGCCGGCATAATTAGGCGGACTCTCTGGAGTTGCCTTCTTGCAAGACAGACAGGATTTGCGGTCGCAAATCTGCGTCACAAATTTTCGGCCGGATGCGTTTTCAATATGGGGAGGGCGGGGGATCTTTCCTCACAATACCACGACGACGACCACGACGACGACCTATGCATTGCAAATATTAATTTGTGGGTCTGGAAAAGAAGTGGTGGAACTTGTATTGCTTGTGGTCTTGCATTTCTGTAAAAATCTGTGTTGCAGCATGAGGAACAAAAGCGCGACCTTTTCTTCATGCAAAAACGCAGTTTCGTAATGCTCGCAACGGCGCATCAGAAAACGTCCAAAACGTTTAGGTCATGCTTAGCTCCAGTAAGAAGGGTCGTGTTCAATCATGGCCATTCAGCATTACAAGTTTCCAGACCCAGACATCTTTGCATTCGATACGACCACTACCATCACCACGACGAGTACGACGACCAGCACCACTACGATGGTGTTATCCATTGCATGTATCGATCTGGGTCTGGAAGAGAGCAAGTTTGTCATGCTTGGCCGACAAGAAAGAAAAGTCTGTCATGCTTGTTGTGCTACAGCGTCACTTGTTTGTCATGCGAAAAGGCGATTTCTCATGCGGTTAATAAAACGCTAGACTTAGCCGCTCAGAAACTTGTCATGCGCGGCCCTGTAATTCAGGTTGCGTATCGTTCGGACATTAGTATCACAACTTTCCCGACCCAGAGAAATTTGCGATGCATAGGTGTTATCAAATGCAAAAATGTCTGGGTCTGGAAGAATGGAAGTTTGTCATGCTTGTCTGGCATGAATCGAGAATCTGTGTTGCATAGGCACGAAAAGGCCCTCTTACCTGTCATGCAAAAACGCAGTTTGCCATGCGGAATACGTCAGACATGGCAGCCAAAAAGTTTGTCATGCATAGCTGCGTATTGCAGTGCGTCTATCATTCACTTTTAGCATTACAACTTTCCCGTCCCAGACAATAAATTTGCGATGCATAGGTGTTATTAAATGCAAAAATGTCTGGGTCTGGAAGAATGGAAGATTTGTCATGCAGGTTTTCCATGACCAATGAGACGTGGAATGCAGAGCGTAGCATGACAGATTCTGTGAGGTCTCTATCATGCCTATTCTGCATGAGACAGTCCCTCTCAATTTGGTCGAGAGTGGACAGCTTTTGGTAAGCATGCAACACAGATTTTTACATGATTCTGATTTAGTAGCATGACAAGTTCCAGACCCAGACAAATTTGCGATGCATAGGTGTACAATGTGTACGAAACGGTTTCCGGTTACAGCCACCACCAGCACGTATCAAGTGCAAATATGTCTGGGTCTGGATGAGCACAGCTGTTTGTCATGCTGTCTCTGCTTGACCCTCAAGGTCTGGCATGCAAGCCCTAGCATCACAGGTTTTTACAAGGCCTGCCAATGCTTAATCCGCATGACAAATTTCCGCTTTCGGTGACAAGAAACGGGATGCTTTTGCTGTTTATGCATGACAGATTTTCGTGTGATCTGAAATGCGCATCAGAAGTTTGCATGTCTCCAGACCCAGACATATTTGCATTTGATAGCACGCGGTCTACTGCAACTACGGGGACTTCGTGCTGTATCCTGTGTAAAAACGTCCCCACCCCGGAGTTGTCATGCAGATTTGCAATGACACGAACACTCGTAATGCGCTTCCCCATGCCAGGCATTTCCAATCGTGTTTTGGCATTTGTAATGCTGCAAACAGGGCAAGCAGATGGATTTGTGGTGCGGGTGTCCTTGCTAACATGCACTACACTGCGGACTGCAACTTGTCATGCGTGGCTCCCAAAGCTTCTGCATTTGTGTTGCTACGTTCCCAACTTGACTATGGAGGGGGGACGTTTTTATATATGATATGCTGGGCGGCGGCTGCAGAGCCTCCTCGAGCGACGCCTCGCTCGCGAAAGTGTCAGACTCCCATCCGTATTTGTACAACAATCATTGGGGGTGGCGGTGCAGCGCCGCACACAAGACCGTGACCGAGATCGAAATGGTGTGGGCCAAATGGCTCTTCATCCCCATTTATGTGCCCCAGGCGGTATCCAAGAAAAAAACTGTGTTAGTGTAACTTTCTTGGAGGAATAGCATCACAAGTTTGCTCTGCATGACAGAGAGAGCCTGTCATGCGCGCCTAGTACGTGAAAACACGTACGAAAAGAGCTTCTGATGCATGTCCAGCATGACAAGTGTAACTATTTTGCATTTTCTGCATCACAGACTTACATTTACACAGTTTTTTTGTTGCATAGACGGTGCAGAGAACCTATTACGGCGACGTCAGAGCCTATGCCATTTGCTCCTCAAACATCGAAACGTCCGTGACTTCCGGCGGCTATGGGGATTGGGGCACGCGTATTGAGACGAAAAATCCCCCCTCCCCATATCGAAACGAAGTTTCTGATGCTGGATTTGCGTACACAAATCAGATCTGTCTTGCAGAAAGTGCTTGGCGGCATTTTCTGGGCCTGTTTGGGTATGCAGAG